TCCCCTCTGGAAGGTTAAAGCGCTGTAAATAGAGGGTCCCGCTCCAAAATAGGTCTGGCTCGGCTCAGTAATGAGACCCCAGCATTGTGTGTGTAATTCAACAGTGTTTGACTGGGAGGGTTTCAATGCCATGAGATGCCACCAGTAGGTGAGTGTGGGCGGAGTGAGGGGCTCAGTGCTCAGTCCGGTCTTTATCCCTGGAGCACAGCTGCAGATAGAGACCCCTCTCTCATCCCTCAATCCACACACACCCCTCTCTCATCTCGCAATCCACACACACCAGGGGCACATACCTCACTGCAGGAGGCCCCTCTCCTTCACACGGCTGTTTACCACGTCCCACTTAGCTGCAGACGCCTTTCATAAATATTGTCCTTGTTCCTATGGTTACTAAAACAAAAAAAATGCCATTCCTCCCATTGTTTCCTCCATTTGTGTTTCCTGGATTAACATGGTATAAATCAATGTAAAGGTCACACACTGATACAGCTTCCACACACTCCACATTACGCACTGTTTTTTCAGGAAACCACTCAGTCTGCTCTCAGGGGATGCAGGCTGTGATGGGAATATAGGAATGTTGATAAATGAAGAAACAACATGTTGTTTACACTGAAAGCTTATATAATGACCTGGACAAAATACAACCCAAAGTGAAGTGGGGGTATGAGATTGGGAGGGAAATGGAATGAGCCAGACGATCTAAAAATATGACCTAAGTCTTTCAGTGAGAGCTTGATAAAAAGTTTGCAGGCTGGAAAGCACACAGCCATCTGTGGGCTGCATTTTCTAACATCACTCTCACTTCTCTCATCAGTCTGGAATGCTTCTGTTAAGAGCTCAATGTGTCTTTTAAATGTTCAAGGAGACACATGTGAAATGTATTTTTTCCAAGTTATGCATAGATTTGTTTTGCATTTAGAGGTCAGATTTACTGTAACAGACTGGGGCGTGAGTTTGCTGCTTTAGTCATTAAATGCTGATTCATGTTCCCCATTTCTGTTGTTATTTATTTCTGTAAAGCCCTTTTAATCAACTATTGTGGTGTTGTATATAAATAAATGTATTAATTGCATTTTTTCAGAGTCACGAGGATGATAGAAAAGGCAACAGTGTCCCCATCTGGTGACTTTCTGCCATGTAGGGATGTTTAGAGTCTGATAATGTCTCGTGTTTTTCAGGAGGTCCCAGGAGTTATCTCACCTCCACCATGACTGATCGCTTCGACTGCTACTACTGCCGGGACAACCTGCACGGGAAGAAATATGTGAAGAAGGACGAAAAGCACGTGTGCACCAAGTGCTTCGATAAGCTCTGCGCCAACACCTGCGCAGAGTGCAAACGCCCCATCGGCGCTGACTCCAAGGTGAAAACACAGTGTCTGAGTGACAGAGAAATAATGAATGAGTAAAAGAGAAGATACAATCAAAACATTTAAATAAACAGAAAATGGCCGCATTGTTCTGCTCAGACATATGTCTTTTAAAATATAATAAACAGAATTGGACACATTTAAAAAAATAATAATAAATAATGCAGCCGATTATAAGCTAGCTACAATTTTTATTTTATTTGTACAATATGCATACGTTACATGTCTTTTTAGTTTCTCATCAGTCTTTTTACTTATCACAAATCATTTTCTAAAATCGTTTTCTACTAGTTTAAGATAATGTTTTCAGCTTTTATAGATAAAAAACCATCTGAAACTGAGATGTTGGCCAAGATCAATTGAGTTGATTTGCTGTCTGCTCATAGGCCCTTTCAACAGAATTCAGGCATCATTTTTTTTCACACTTTTTGCCTTTTCTACCGTAACATTTTAAAATGTCTTCTGTGAAAAAGTAATATCCACCCTGAATTTTTTAGATGTCTACTATGAATGTTATTACATTAATACAAAAACATAAAAAAAGGGATGATATATCTGTCTATATCTGTTCAGAGAGCATCCAGTCTCAAGCTCTAATTAAACTTGTCCGTCATTCAGTAGTGGTGGTTGCTTCCAAATTAAAGTCACCACTCAGTCACAGGGAGCTGAATGTGTGAAAAATATACCACCAGTAAGGTTTCAATTCTTTATATTGAATTTCTAGCATCTAAATCTCCTAACTCCTTCTTGGCTCACGTCTGTCTCATTGGCTCGTTCTGTAACCTGCCCTGAGCCTCACTCTCCATGATGAAACTTTAATGAGGTCTGCATGAGGACAAGGTGAGAGACCTCTCCTAACACCCTCTGTGTTTCAGGAGCTGCACCATAAGAACCGTCACTGGCATGAGGACTGTTTCCGCTGTGTCAAGTGCTCCAAGCCGCTGGCCAGCGAGCCGTTCAACGCCCGGGACGATGGCAAGATAATGTGCGGCAAGTGTGGCTCCCGGGAGGATGGCAACCGGTGCCAGGCCTGCTACAAGGTGGTCCTGCCAGGTGGGTTCACTATTCTTACTTTAAAAACTAATTTTTTCCTACTATAAAAGATGTGGTCGTCAATGAGCTAAGTGAGAACCGTTATTGTTTTGCTCGAGACACTTTTGTATTTGTGTATTTTGTATCTGTGCTTTTCTTTCCGGTTTGAAGTGGGTCGGGCACGGTTGGAAAATGTGATGATTGCCAATCAGGATGTTTGAATAAAACATTATGATAATTATTGTTCAGGTTGCCCAACACTTTCATTTGTACCTGATTGAAACACTTCTGCGCAACACTGATGAAGTAGATGTATGAGTATGTTCTTTATAAATAACCCATAAGGTGATTTTCTCTAGTAACAACTATTTCATATAACAGAGAGATAAGTAACATTTGAAAAAACATTTAAAGAAGAGGCTTTAATGAAAGAAAAGGCTTATTAAATGTGTGCAACACTTTCTTACCAAGGATTTAACCTGCTTTTAAACTCAATCTAGCTGTACTTTACCTCTTTTTCAACCTCTCTTCGGGGATCCCAAAGAATCCACTCACTGTCAGACAGAGTGGACTGTTTTTTACTTTTAATTTTTGAAACCATAACAATGCTTCTTGATCTCTGTGCCTCAGGATCCCAGAATGTGGAGTACAAGAACAAGATGTGGCACGAGGAATGCTTCACCTGCTTTGAATGCAAGCAGCCCATCCGCACGCAGAGCTTCCTGACCAAAGGGGAAGACATCTACTGCGCTCCCTGCCACGACAAGAAGTTTGCCAAGAAGTGTTTCCACTGCAAGCAGGTACAACCACATATCATATCATCCATAGTGCTAAGTCTATATCAATTAAACTGTGGTGCTGACCGTTCACTTTCAGCAGCGGGAATGATTTTCCACCTCTGTAGGGTTTAAGATGTTCCTCTCTCTCTCTCTCTCTCTCCCTCCCTCTCTCAGCCCATCACCTCTGGAGGGATCAGCTACCAGGACCAGCCCTGGCACTCGGAGTGTTTCGTGTGCAAAACCTGCCACAAAGGTCTGGCTGGAGCTCGCTTCACTTCCCACGAGAACGACGTCTACTGCGTGGACTGTTTCAAGACTGATGTGGCCAAGAAGTGCCATGGATGCAAAAACCCAATCACAGGTCAGGGAAGCATGAGCAGATGTTTTTATTAGAATCAATGCATTGTGGGTATACTGGGAAATAATTTTGTAGCGCATTTTACTTTCTTTCTGTACAACTATAATGGCCTCTGACAGATTACAACCCACTGGCCATAAGACATATTTATTTGGATCAGCTCCAAAGCCCAAATATTATTTATATTGAAATAATAATAATAATAATAATATGCTAATTAATCAATATTTACTTGGTTAAATAAAGAGATATTCAAATGTCTTTCTTATAAGTACAAACATTACATGAATGGTTCTGAAAAATGTGAGGTGTTACAGACCAGCTGAATAAAGAAATAGTATTTCCCCTTTAATCCATTTTTCCTGCTCCTTTAAACCCTGGTATATTATTTATTTAGCCCAGTTTAGCCTTTAAGATAAATGATGCCAGCCATCATACTGGTCATTCTGAATTATTCCTATACAAGTCAAATGCAGCAGACAGCAACACCATCCAAATTAATTTCCGGAAAACCCAATGTTCTCATTACCTAAGCCCAAGCTGTACCTTAATACAAATGATAGGAATGTTTTAAAGAGAACTGTGTGTGAAGCATGATCACCTGTCTCACACTGCTGACTGACGGCTGTCCTCCGCTCTCCGCAGGGTTCGGCCACGGCACCAACGTGGTGAACTATGAGGGATTCTCTTGGCACGAGTACTGCTTCAACTGCAAGAAGTGCTGCCTCTCGCTGGCCAACAAGCGCTTTGTGATCAACGGAGAGCAAATCCACTGCCCCGACTGTGCCAAGAAGGTGTGAGCTGCACAGAGGGTCGTGTTTAAAGTGGAGTGGCGCCAACACTGACATTTAGACATTTAGTTAATTAGCAGAAATATAACCTTTTTGTTGACAGGCTATTACGGCCTCAAACGAACATAAATGTTATTCTGTTTGTGATTTAGCAAACAAATGTCAAATTGGTGAAACTTCTCTTTATGAGGTTGGCAGACGATAAAGGTTATTTCAACTAATTATGCACTAGCTTGAGTCATTTATCTACTCATACATTATGCAACTTGTTTCAGTGTTGGACACTAACATGGCAACAGAGTTTCTTTTGTGGGATTGTGATGTGCACTATTAGTCTAATCTAATCCAGGATTCTGTGTAGTTTTATGAGACAAAAGCTTTTTCACATGCCTTACTGGAATATTTCAGAGAGAATAATATGCTTTGACATGCATAACGCTGCTCATACATACCAGCTTTGATTGATAATCTGTTACATGTATCTTCCAATGGATTATCAGAAGAAACCAAATCTAAAATGAGGTCTTTGAGTTTTATGCTGAAATATAAACAGCTTGTGTATTCAAGACTTTGACTGAAATGTTAAATGTTAAACAAGAATAAAAGGAAAAAATGATGTGAAGTCTCTTATTTCTTTCAGAAAGACATAAAAGAACATGGCAAAGGAATATTTTTGCAAGACTTTATTTGTTTTAACAGTTTGTATCATCTCAGTACACTTTTAGATATATTTACAGTACAAATCTTACTTGGACAGGGCTTTGTTAGTAAATCTTTCAGAGAAATATTCATATTCACAAAGTCGCCCTGGGTGGGGAGACTGATTGTCGAGGCCGAGGTAAGGGCAAGCTTTCTTAGTTAACTGTGATACAATAAAAATACTAAATCTCAATCTAAGGCACCGTTCTATCCTATTGTTAAAGAAAACGTTGAGGACTTAAAGCAGTCGGCTCTGTACTCGAGCCCTCAGAGATGCAGCAGGACCTGGAGTAGACGAAATATGTGTTTAAGAAGCAGCTGCAACAGCCCCCCCCCCCCCCGACAGATGCTACATGGGACTAGAGGGGTAGGAAAGGTTTGGAGATGAGACTTCTAAAACATCTGGGAATCCACAAATGACGTTCTCTTTTCTTCCAGAATATCTCCTACGAGTCTGAACAGTAAAGCTACTCCTCAGTTACCATTCTCTAAACATAGCCAGTCATTTGTGACAGTGCAAAGAGTCTCGTGTTTTTTTAAACGAGTAATAGATGAAAGCCAAAAAGCTCTGAGAGACATGGTAAATGATGAAGGACGGTTTATGGAGTCCGTTACATTCTTTGAGCTTATTAATCAAAGCTAAGATCTAAAGCCCATAGTCCTTATGTACAAAGAGATTTGAGTTAGCCAGCAGAGAACAAGGCAACGATAAAAGGTCCTCCAAACCTCGTGCTTGGACTGTTCAAGCATAGGGACTTTCAAGATTTCATTACAGTTCATGAACAATCCAGAAGAGACAGAAAACATGTCTGACCCACGTCATGTTCTGCTACTACAAGGATTAGTTAAGACCTGAGCTGATATGCCTACACTAGAACTATCCATCCCCACGTCCTTTAACATCATATAAAACACATTGTGATGACATTAAAAGTATCATGAAGAGGCCGGGCCACGACTGATCCTGGGTCAGACATGCCGCTAAGGGCTGTAACAACTGACCATCAAAATGTGTTTAGTCTCCGTGAGGCAAAGTTCAGAATCAGAGTTGGGGCTTAAAGCGCTAACACATACACACATAAACAAACGCTATATTTTAAGGAAAATATAGTGGGTCCCTACTTGGCCCCTTGTTTTTTCCAGAGCTCATGTGGAAGCGGGCTTTATGTACGTTTATCCAGGCTGCCCAAACGTAAACTGACATCCCGTCACAGGGCACGAGTCCAACAGAAACGTAAAGCACACAAACAGAGACTTCAATTATCCACATCCCGACGCCACCTCATCCTACACATGGCTCCATCTGCCTAATACTGATTATATACACAACACAATAACACTTAAATATATGTAGAAATGTATTTTTATATATAAACAAACGGCCAAATTATATTATAAAAAAGAATTGAAATGCATTGTGTCAGATGTAGCAGCTGGTGTTTTGGGAATTTCAAAAAGTTGGTTGAAAAAGGAGAAATAAATGTAAATGGTGAAGAAGACTCACCGTGGGTGGATGTGTTGGAAAAGCTCAAGTTAGAACCAGATCATTGAAAAACCTGATTTGTAGTTTCAGGCAAATATTCAAGGTTCAATTCAGTAACGAACACAAACCACCTGAAGAAGCTCAGAGGTAGCCATGAATGAAACTAATGGACTTCCACTGCTAAGATAGTATGTTGCAGTTATGGGTATTCAAGCAGGAGATGAGACTACAATGTGATGCAACTCATATCTGATGTACAATGATGTCGCTCGTAAACATAAATTCTATGTACATATGTAAAAATTAACAAAACCTTAACGAAGCCTAAATGAGAAACAAACTGCAGAAACTTCACTGAACAAACAACCAAATTCACTACAGTGCTGTGAGTGAACCTCAACACTATTCAGCTTCAAATGTAACAGATGGAGCTCCAGGCGCCGCCTAGTGGCCAAATAAGGAAACACACCGGGAGACAGGGCAATGGGGCAAAATGAAGTATGAACACTTTCAAGTGTAAGCACGTGACAGAGTTAACTGTGCATGAATGAGCTTCAGCGCAAGCAATTTAGTATATTCACAATTCAAAATTAGTAGTTGAGGAAATATTAAGGCCATATTGGATCCTGCAAAGAGCAGCCGGTCAAGTAAATTTAGCCGAATCACACGTGAAACCTGGGACGCTTTCCCCACCAAACCCCCGACAGAACAGAACGTTGGAGCCTTTCCTCCTTTAAGTCACTCTGTTCAGTTCACGCAGCCGAGTGTGCATGTGTCCTGGAATATTCTCACACAAGAGAAAAGAACAACAAGACTAAACATAGGTAATAATTACAATAACAACAAAGCCAAAATTAATAAATTACAACAAATGCACCCCTGACAAAGACAAAACTCTTAAAAAAAACATCAAATTTAGACACAACATAAAAAAAACCTTTGAGAACTAAACACAAGAGGAAGAGGAAAGACACCTGAAGCGAGCACGTTGAAGGAATATATGGAATTTCCCTGAAGCATAACGTTGTTTTCTTTGAATATATATATATCATTTGAATATATTTGTTTCCTCATAATGTGGGGTGCAAATGTAGCACTTGGGGTGGTCTTTCCGCTTCTCCTTGTGCTCCTCGCTCTGGAAGAGGAGGAGGAGAGAGAGAGGAGGAAGCCGTTTGGAACTTTTTTTTTTGAAGGAGCTCAGCTGGACAGGGACTTTACGAGTGCAACAGAGAGAGGCGTCTCAGCGATGGCGGCAGCATCAAATCTCTGCGGAGACACGGGAGGAAGTGATTACTTTAGGAAGAGTTCATCAAAGAGTGAACATTCCCAACAGGTGTGTGTGACTCCTCACCTGACAGGGCTTCTATTGGTTGGTTAGAGGAATGCAGGGGGTTGACGGGGGTCCCCTTGTCCTCGAAGGCCACCCTGGTCCCGTCCGAGCTCCCGTCACAGCTGATCAGGACCTGCTTACAGTCCTCCGCCTGGATCAGGGGCCGAGTCTTGGAGTGGACGTTGAGGTCGTTGAGCTCCTCGAAGCTCCACGGGTTGGATTTACCGTTCAGACCGGAGACTAAGCCCACCTTGGCGGAGTCCTGCTCATTCAGGAACTCCGAGCCCTCCACCAGGCGGCCCTTAGGAACGGGACTGGAGAGGAGAGGGATAGAAAAGAGTTTCAGAAGGTTCATGAGATTTATCACAGCAGCTCAGCTTTAAGTTAGCAGAAAGAAATCCAGTCGAATAAAAGATAGGGCTGGAATAGCCGAGTCAATCGGACAAAATCATATTCCACTGAACTTCAACTAATTACTAGGGCCGGGACTTTAACGCGTTAATTAAGATTAATTAATTACACAAACATGAACGCGTTAAAAAAATTTACGCATTTTAATCGCACTTATTTTTGCCCTGCGGAACGTTTCTCACTGGATGAGTTTCAGGCGTACCGATTATACTGGAGCACCAACTAACGTTNGTGTGCCTTGGCAGTCTCAGTTTTAATCGCACTTATTTTTGCCCTGCGGAACGTTTCTCACTGGATGAGTTTCAGGCATACCAACTACCGTTCATGACTTCAGACAACAACAAACCACAGTGAACAATAGTCAAACATGAACGAAGAAGCTGATGAGACCGCTTTGGTTGGCCCCGTGGATGGGAAATTTGGTTTTAAAAACGGACGGATGGAAGCGTCGATAAGAGCACGGTTGTATGCAAATTATGCAAAAAGGAATTCGCATATCACCGCAGCACATCAAGCCTCAAGTATCACCTGGACGTTAGCCCGACTCCGAGTACAAGGACCCAAGCCATACTTGCCCTCAGAAATCGGGGGGGGGGTGCTAGTGGATCGCCGGAGCTGTTAGATTAACATTAACATGCTTATTGTAGTTGTAAGTGCACTGCCTTGCGGCCTGTAGTACCGTCCTTGATGGAGCATATGTGTGGACTGGACCTGCATTTTACAGGAAAGGAGTGAGCAGAGAGTAGAGTTGTTGTCGATTCTTGTTCTGTTTTCTGTGAATATCTGCCTCACCCTCTCAGACTTTGAGTTGCGCGTGCTACTAAAGAGACGTGTTACCATGGAAACCAAACAATGGTGTAGCTGTATTAAAGTCCGAGTGGAAAAAGTCGTGTGTAAATCTGATTTTGTCAGAAATCGGGAGAAATGCGGGAGAAATATGACCCCGGGAGGAAACCGGGAGAGGGCAATGAAATCGGGAGTCTCCCGCGAAAATCGGGAGGGTTGACAAGTATGACCGTTGGTATTTAACAGCAGCAAGTTACAAAATACAAACCTTGTAACAGTTCTAAGGATTTAGCAGCCAGGTCTATTATTAAATAGAGAGAAGAAGAACCCACATTAGTAACACATCAATGGCTAACAATGAGCAGCAGCAAGAGACATAAGTAACATATCACGGTGTTGAGACATTAATAATATAAATGTGTATGTATTGCACATTGATGATTTGTTGCAGAAGTGTCAGCACCTCTTCTCTGCTGCAGGTTGAAGCTGGAGGAGGGTCGGGGTCTCCGGGGCCGGATGGAGGCTCTGGATGTGATCTGCCATCTGAAGATAAAGACAGAGACGCTGCTGGAGCCTGTGATTCGCTGCCTGAGTGATGAGTTCACTGCCCTCAGGAAACAAGCCTGTCTGACGGCTGCATCTATGCAGCTGAGGGAGGAGAGGGTAAGAGAGGAGGACGAGTATTTATTATATTAAGGCTCTCTGAGATAACCAATGGGAGCAGCTGAACACTAAGTGAGACTGCATAGGGGAGACCGGGGAGGGCGGGACCTTAAATGAGAACAGTCATATTAACCTTAAAGTCTCCTATTATTATACTGTCTTTCATCATATATCACAGTTCTCAGATATATCCAGAGCCTGTCTCTGATTGGGCTGAAAACCCCAAACAGGACATTGCAGCATTAACCCATATATCCCCTCTGTTTCAGCCCTGTTTTCCAAACTGGCTGATTTCTCTGCTGTTACTTTAGATGAAAATAAGGAGCCCCTCCCCACGCCCCTCTGAGAGAGATTTGGGTGAAAATAACCCAATGTGCTCTAGGAGGAGATTCAGGTGATAAGGGGGAGGGTACCTTGGTTGCTGATTGCTAATGTTACACAAGACAAAACACGTTATGACATCATAAAGTGGCCAAAATCTGATCAGCTTCATTTCAGACAGGTTTTTATGAAAGGATCAAAAGAGAGAGAACTTTGTTCTGAACTTTCAGAGCTCTTTCCACGAGGGGCCACATGTTGATGTAGAAAGAACATGAAGAAAGAGGGACACGGTGTTGATGTAGAAGAGACATGAAGAAGAGGGGACCATGTTGATGTAGAAGAGACATGAAGAAGAGGGGACACATGTTGATATGTAGAAGAGACATGAAGAAGAGGGGACACGTGTTGATGTAGAAGAGCATGAAGAAGAGGGGACACATGTGATGAAGAAGAGACATGGAAGAAGAGGGACACATGTGAATGTAGAAAGAGACATGAGAAGAGGGGACACATGTTTATGTAGAAGAGACATGGAGAAGAGGGGACACATGTGATGTAGAAAGAGACATGAAGAAGAGGGACACCCCCCATGGTGGGAATGTAGAAGAGACATGAAAGAAGAGGGGACACATGTGATGGAAGAAGAGACATGAAAGAAGAGGGACACATGTTGATAGAAGAGACATGAAGAAGAGGACACATGTTGATGGTAGAAGAGATGTTGGAGAAGAGGTGGACACATGTGCATGTAGCAAGAGACACATCGGAGAAAGGGGAAACATGTTGAGCGTGTAGAAACAACATGGATGAGAAGAGGACACGGTGATTGATGTAGAAGAGACATGAAGAAGAGGGGACACAGTTATGTAGAAAGACAGAAGACAGAGGGGACACATGTTGATGTAGAAGAGACATGAAGAAGAGGGGACACATGTGAAGTTAGAAGAGACATGGAGAAGAGCGGACACATGTTGATGGTAGAAGAGACATGGGCAAGAAGAGGGGACACATGTGATGTAGAAGAGACATGAAGAAGAGGATTGTGCATAAAAGATAACCTTTAAGGCTATCTGAGACAACCAATGGGAGAGCTGAAACACTAAGTGAGGGACAGGAAAGAAACGGGGAGCGGCGGGACCTTAAATGATACAGTGGAGAACTAACAGTCTATATAACCTTAAATATAAAGTCTGCCCAGATGAAACTCAAGCTCCTCTCTTTTATACAGGCCAGGTCAAACGTTTCAAGACAACATACGGTGCGCTAAAGAGAAATACCAGAAGTTACGATCAGGTTCAAACTACCAACAGATTTACAGTAGCCTCAGATAACAGCCACAAAAGCATGCAGACATGACACAGGCGAATGTTATGAATCATGAAAACTTAATGACTGGCAAAGGTTTGTTTCCTTGACAAAGTGCTAGTGAGATCAGAAATTAAA